GGCACACACTGTATGCATTGGGATAGTTTGTCCTTCCCTCATCTGGCCCCTTATGTGAGTGGCCCTTTGGGCAATGCTCAGCACAGGGAGTTTAATCTCTGAAATTTAGACTGTACTTTGCCCATACAGAGGCCAAGCCCCCCCAACACGTGCACACCATCAGATCATACCCTTCCATCCACTCCCCCTACATTATGTTTAGCCTCCAGAAACACAGAGATATACCTGGTACTTCCTGGTACACATGGCCCCCCTTCTTTCCATGTGATAGCATTCCTGCTTGGTGATTCGTTCAGCCCAGTCATATCATTTTCTTAATAAAGTGTTTTGATGCCTAAAGCATTATTAAACCCAAAAGCAAACAATTATTATATTGCAGCTTACCAATTCTTATATGTGCTAGCTGCATCAGTTTTATTTTCTAGGCTTGCTGTCTTTCTTTTATTTCCACCTGGTAATCTGGCCAGTAAGTCTGTTGTTTTTCAAAAGAATAAGCTCCCTTGTAGATGTAGCAGTTAGACAGATAAGGCAAACCATTTACCACTGACATGGGTGCTTACAATGATCAGCTTTATTTATTTATCGCAAAACAAACCTGTAACTGTTTATAAGGTGTGAGCTTGAGTTTGGTTTCAATTTGTTTGGGTATCTAAATCTGATAGAACATCTAACAACCCCCTACCCTCAGAATGGCAATGCTGCTTTCTGCTGTATCCCCTGTGCTGCTTCATCCAGAGTGTAGACACCCTAATACAGGAGGTGTGTTACTGGCCAGGTCACCAAGTGAAAACAGGGGGAAAAAATCCTAAAAAAGAAAACTAATGCAGCCATCACCTCTAGTGACTGGTAAGCTGCAATATACTGTAATACATTTTTGGTTTTAGGCTTAATACGTATTTACTTTATTATTATTGTCATAACTTAGGTTTCTTGTGCTTCACCAAGTGAAAAACAGGTGGAAAAAATCCTAAAAAAGAAAACTAATGCAGCCATCACCTCTAGTGACTGGTAAGCTGCAATATTATCCATTTTTGGTTTTAGGCTTAATACGTATTTACTTTATTTTTAATGTCATAACTTAGGTTTCTTGTGCTTCTCCTTGGTCTGTTCCCAACCCAAACTCAAGACTTTGGAAGCCTGCTTGTAAGCAAAGATTGACTATCTCTGGTGTAAGCAATAGATACATATTAACGAGGGAAGCGGAAAAGAATCCACATAAGTGGGATCCTCGAGTCTTTGTATCTTGACACTCAGAATACGTAAAAGTAAACAAATAAAAGATGAAAAATGCATCTTGTTACATTCCAAAAAGAATTCACGGAGTACTAGGAGGGAAGTGCCCCATAGGAAACAACTTTTCATTTTTCATGAGTTTTTTTCATCCAATTTTCATGCATCGGCTGCTTATAAATGCAAAACTGGTGCAAGCAGCGGCCACGTGATGGAGAAAATGACCAAACAACAAAGCATGACTTGTTTTCTTGTACATCTCTTTCTCTGCATCCCAAAGGTCTACAGAGTGTCTTTCTTTGGTGTTTTGTTCTCAATCTGCCGTGTAGGAGCAAGATATGAAATCATCTGCTGACAGCAACTCACCTCTTCTCACTAGCACATTACAATATACATCAGTATGCTAACGTGTGTTCACAAAAGCCCCCTCCAGAAGATGCACACAGCTCTGCTCCATTCACCGGGGTCATAAATGAGGCTGGAATACATATGTCTGGTATTAGGAGCATTAGAGCTTTTAATCTCTTGGGTCACCAATCATTCACCCATATAGACAATTGATATCTCTTCACAGTCAAGAGCTGCTCGTCATGTGATGCTTAAAAGCACACCACTTATTATAGGACACTTGTGAACCAGTGACAAGGGCAGCCAGGCAACCTGAGATAGCACCATTTAGTCTATATATTTTGTTTTTTTTTTCTGATTATGCTTTTCCTTTCCACCTCTTTGAAATGTAGGTATAAATCTAGCAATAAAACTCAAAAAAATCCTTGATATAGGAGTGCAGGGACCAATAAGGGGAGTCACAGGACTCTTCGCAGCTCAGTGTGGAATTTTATTTTGGAATTTTATTTTGCTCCAGGATTATAATTGGTTAACTTCCCTCGGGACTGGAAGCTGAAAGAGACTAGCTGATAAGGTTATTATCGTTCTTTGAAGTTATAGTGGAAAAGGGGGCAGCGTGTGCTGTGTAAAGGAGAGCAGAGTAAAAAACATGACCTCTGCCATATTTAAAGTTGTAATACAGTTTACAGGGTTTATTTTTATTTACAAAATATGCTGGTTCACTCCACCAGAACCTCATGCAGTTGTGCATGGTAGCCAATTATGAACAGCTTCTAAGGTACGTTGGCCATACATTTTATACAATTTTGTGCTTGAGAAGGTTTTTGGCTTAGATTTACCAAACACCATGTAAAGGGAGGTCAAACCTAACAACACTTTCAATTGTATCCAATTAGGCAGGCTCTTGCACCACATAGTTGAAGTTAAATCTAAAGGAAATTGGGAAGACCTTGGACAGAAAATTGTATAGTGTATGGCCAGCCTAACCTCATCTTGTGTAACCACTTGAGCTCCTGAGGATTTACCCCCCTTAATGACCAGGCCTCTTTTTGCTACTCGGCGCTGCACTAATTCAACTGATAATTGAGCGGTCATGCAATGCTGCTTCCAAATGAAATTTACGTCCTTTTTTTCACACAAATAGAGCTTTCTTTCGGTGGTCTTTGATCACCTGTGCGCTTTTTATTTTTCATGCTATAAACAAAAAAAGACCAAAAAATTTGGAAGAAAAACAATATTTTTTACTTTCAGCTATAAAAAATATATAGTAAACTCAAAGTTAGTTATAAATTTAGGCCAAAATGTATTCTGCTCCATGTTTTTGGTAAAAAAAATCCGAATAAGTGTTTATTGATTGCTTTGTGTAAAAGGTATATCGTCTACAAACTATGGTATAGATACTGCAATTTACGCCATTTTTTTGCTATACAGCGCTGTGCTAGTTTAACGGACAATTGCACGGTCATGCAAAACGGTACATAAATGAAATTTACATCTTTTTTTTCCCCACAAATTGAGCTTTCCTTCGGTGGTATTTTAGCGCTTGTGCGTTCTTTATTTTTTGCGCTATAAAAAAAAGGCTGACAATTTGAGGAGAAAAAACTTTTTTTTTGACTTTTTGCTATAAAACATGTCCAGTAAAAAAAATCAAAAATCTAATTTAGACATAAATTTCTGCCAAAATGCATTCTGCGACATGTCTTTGCTACAAAAAAAAACCCAATACGTGTAAATTAATTGGTTTACGTGAAAGTTATAGCGTTTACAAATGGCGAAAAAGATACTGGGATTTTTAGGATTTTTAATTTTTTTTTATACTAATAAAGGTGGCGATCAGTGCCTTATGCGGCGATCAGCGACTTATGGCGGGACTGCGGGACTGCGCGGCGGACATTCTGACACTGGGGGGGAACTGACTTGGGGTCACTGACATCCCCAGTGACACCAATACCGTGATCAGTGCAAAAAAAAAAAACACTGACACTGTACTAATGGCACTGGGGAGGAAGGGGTAAACTTTATTATTCAGGGAAAGGGTTAACTGTGTGAGGGGAGTGTTTTACTAGGAGGCGGGGGTGTGTACTGCAGGGAACACCGCTGATCGGGACAGATAAACTCTTCTGTTCCAATCAGCATATCCTGGAGCTGTCGGGGAACTGACAGAAAGCACAGCTACTGCAGCTGTGCTCTCTGTCACTGATTGCCGCTAATCACCGGGACATAGCCGGTAACGACCGGCTGTGACCCGGCGACTGACATCTGTGGCCGTGATTGGCCTCGCGCGCCCACTACCTGTTTTAAAAACACACGTTTTAAAACGTGGTTTTGCCCAGCCGTGCCGCCCTGCCGTTTTAGCAATAAAACCTGGAAGCTGATTGGTTTCTATGCAGAAGTGTACAAGATTCCGTGTGAACCAGCTTTACTAAATAAATCCCAGTTTGTCTCTAGCGTTAAAGGGGTTCTAAAAGTTCAAGGTTTTTACCTTCATGCATTCTATGTAAAAAAACCTTCTGTGTACTCAGTGCCCGCAGCCCCCTCAATACTTACCTTAGCCACATCGCGATCCAGCGATGTGAATGACAGGCTCGGCTGTCCCAGGTCTCTGTCTCCTCATTGGCTGAGACAGCAAGTGGAAGTCAATTGCAGCCAGTCAGTCAATGAGGAGAGAGAGGGTCCGGAGCCAAGCTGCTGCTCTGTGTGTGAATGGACACACAGAGTAGCGAAGGACCCCATAGCAAGCTGCTTGCTGTGGGAGCACCTGACAGACAGGAGGAGCCAGGAGAACCTGCGGGGGACCTGAGAAGTGGAGGATTCAGGCTGCTCTGCACAAAACCCTTGCACACAGCAGGTAAGTATAGACATATACAAAAAAAAAAAAACCTTTAACACAGCACACTTTGTATTTCTGAGCCCCTCCTGTAACATAGTTTTATTTCTTCGTGATCTTGCCAGTACATCTGTTGTTTTTAACATTCCGTTAACCACTTGCCCTCCAGAGGATTTAAACCCCCTTCCTGACCGGTCCATTTTTTGCGATACGGCGTTGCATTACTTTAACTGACAATGCGCAGTCATGCAACGCTGTACATAAATGAAATTTATGTCCCTTTTTCCCACAAATAGAGCTTTCTTTCAGTGGTATTTGATCACCGCTGTGTTTTTTATTTTTTACACTGTAAACAAAAAAAGAGCGACAATTTTCAAAAAAAAAAAAAAAATATATATATATATTTGCCGTTTTGCTATGAAACATGTCCAATAAAAAATGTTTAAAAATCAAATTTCGTCATAAATTTAGGCCAAAATGTATTCTGCTACATGTCTTTGCTAAAAAAAATCCTAATACGTATAAATTTATTGGTTTACGCGAAAGTCATAGCGTCTACAATTGGCGGTATATATATTGGAATTTTTGGCAGTGATCAGTGACTTATAGCGGGACTGCGGCGGGCATTCTGACACTGGGGGGAACTGACTAACTGCCACTAACATCCTCAGTGACACTAATACAGTGATCAGTGCTAATAGAAAGCACTGACACTCAGTGGTGTCCCGAGGCAGGTGCGGGGGGTGCGGTCCGCTCCGGGTGATACTGACCACAGAGGGTGACACCGGACCAGCTCCACAAAAAGGTAAGTTGTAAAGCAAGCCGACGATCCCCGCAGGATGGATCCGATGGATCCGACTCTGATCCATTATGCTCAATCCGCAGATCCGATCCATCCTGCGGGGATCGTTGGCTTTCTTTACAACTTACCTTTTCTTGGAGCAGGCCTGGTGTCACCCCATATAGGTTGCATGCCGACAATCCTGCGGGGATCGTCGGAATGCAACCTATACGAGGTGACACCGGACCCGCTCCAAGAAAAGGTAAGTTGTAAAGAAAGCTGACGATCCCCTCAGGATGGATTCGATCCATCCTGCGGGGATCGTTGGCTTGCTTTACAACTTACCTTTTTGTGGAGCAGGTCTGGTGTCACCCCATATAGGTTGCATGCCGACGATCCCCGCAGGAGTCCGATCCATTATGCTCAATCCGCAGATTCGATCCATTCTGCTGGGCTCGTCGGAGGGGGTGTCACCAAGTGTTACCGCACCGGGTGACACCAACCCTAGGGACACCTCTGCTGACACTGTACTAATGACACTGGGCAGGAAGGGGTTAACATCTGGGGCGATTGAAGGGTTAACTGTGTGCTGTATGTGTTTTACTATGTGTGCTGTGTGATGTTTTACAATGGAGACATGCTGCTTTGTATTTCTCTACTGTGCAGAGAAATACAAAGCAGCATGTCCTTGTTTACACACAGGTCTCTCCCCTGTCAGCTTTACTCGGCAATCACCGGGTGCCGGCAAGGAATCTCTGTCCGAGACCTCGTGATTAATATCCCTAGCCACCAATGGCGGCACGGGTAGGGTGGCACGTGCGCCCCCTACCCAGATTTGCAAATCACGTATAAATACGTGATTTAGCGTAACCCTGCTGCCCTGTAGCAGTAGTTCTACTAAAGGGCATCGGACAAGCAGTTAAAGAGCAATCCACTTTTGTTGAGATTAAACTATTCCCTCTGGGTGATCAATGTACATTGCATGGATTTTTACCAAACTTTGCAGCAGATTCCTACCATTTTATGCTCTGTTTATTTCACCAGACTGATTTTAGACTGGTTCTGAATGGGAGGGTCTGGTTCATGAAAATCAGCTGGTGCACTCACAATGTTCTAAGGAGAAAAGCTGCAGTGTCATCATCCCTTTAAAAGTATTTAACTCCTTGGCAGTATCTCACCAAAGCTAAATTTTCTATAGCAGGAGGTGCCTAAAATTTGATTGCATCTTAGTACAGACTTTTGGGAAAATCAGTGAGCCAATCATACAAACAGGAAATGACATCTCTGGGAGAACTCCATACACCAGAAAAATTACAGAGGCTTCAGAAACGTTTTTTTGTAATAATATTAAATTATAACGTGGTTTGTGTAGAAATTGTATATAGAATTACCCTTTAACAGACCAAGCTGTTCAGCAAATGTAGCAGTTAGAAGGTTGAGACAACATTATGACAAAGCTACTGTTCAAGGGTGGCTATGATGCTCCTCCATACATACAGTATAAAGGTGAGTATAGCCCGATAAGAAGGGTATTGCTGGCAAGATCACCAAGTAAAAAAAAGGATAAAAGGCCTAAAAAATAAAACCAATGCAGCCATCACATCTAAGGATTGGTAAGCTGCAATATATTCAAATTTTGTATATGGGTTTAAGTTCACTTTAAAGCATACAAAATGCTGTTAGAGAAAATTGGATTATGCGTTATAAGATTTTTTGCCTTCCTATGGATGAACTATGCTTTCAGTATTCTGTAGATATGGGTTTTTAATTTATTTATCTGTTTTTCTAGTTGAACTTGATAGACTTATGACATTTTCAGCTATGTAATCATGCTGCTTTCAGTGCTAACAGAACATTTTGAAGTTATTTTTACATTTCTTTGTGCTATGATGGAATCTGCATTAAAAGGATCAGAGTTGAACATTCTATCAGAAGTTAAAGTGTTACTAAACCCACAACAGTAAAATCAGTCTGTATATGCAGTAAAGCATGCTTGTTATACTCACTATGGAATCTAAGGGGTTAATCCTTTACATTGTGTAAAAAGGCTGTTTGATCCTGACTTCTCTGACCCTCCTCTTCTACTGTCCCCAATCCATCAGCTGATAGTACAGAGCTCTAGGAGTCACTCTGCACATGCTCAGTTTAGTGTGTGCGGCTAGAGAGTTTTTCTTTATTTTGGGAGGGTGCGTTTGATCAGCACAGGACCAATCAGAGCTGTCCAGACAGAGGGTTATGCAGCCTCATAGGACAGTCAGAGGAGAATGAAAACTCCTCCTACAAGCTTTAACCTGTGTTAAACTGGACACCAATAGAAATTACAAGACTGCTACTGTTACTATCTTTTTATGAGGAGGTGAGCACAACCTTGGACAGAGGAATGGTGGTGGATGTGGTATACTTGGATTTTGCAAAAGGGTTTGACACAGTTCCCCACACACGGCTAATGTCGAGTCTACTGGCTTGGAAAAATCTGTATGTAAATGTAAAAGAGTATTGGTTAATGATTCATACTCTGAATGGTCTAGGGTTGTCAGTGGTGTACCCCAGGGTTCAGCGTTGAGACCCTTACTTTTTAATATATTTATAAACAATATAGGGTCTGGGATTAAAAATCCCATTTCAGTCTTTGCAGATGACACCAAGCTGTGCCATGGAATAATGTTCTTACAGGATGTCTCCAATTTACAAGCCGACCTCAATGCACTGTTTAATTGGGCAACTGTGTGGCAAATGAGGTTTAATGTTGATAAATGTAAGGTTATGCACTTGGGGGGTAAGAATATGCATGCATCATACATACTAGGGGGGTACAACTGGGGGAATCAATGGTGGAGAAGGATCTGGGAGTTCTGGTAGATCACAAGCTTAATAATGGCATGCAATGCCAAGCTGCGGTTTCTAAAGCGAGCAAAATCCTCTCTTGTAATAGGAGAGTTATAAACTCCAGAGAGAGAGATATTATATTTCCCCAGTACAAATCATTAGTAAGACCTCATCTGGAAACTGCAGTTCAGTTTTGGGCACTAATTCACAAAAAGAACATTGGGGAACTGGAGAAAGTACAGAGAAGGGCAACCAAACTGATAAGAGGCATGGAGGAGCTCAGCTATGAGGAAAGATTAGAGGAACTGAATTTATTCTCTCTTGAGAAGAGGAGATTAAGGGGGGATATGATCAACATGTATAATACATCAGTGGTTTATATAGTGAACTCGGTGTAGAGTTATTCACCCTGAGGTCATCACAGAGAGCAAGGGGGCACTCTTTACATCTGGAGGAAAATAAATTTAATCTCCAATCAGGGAAAGGTCTCTTTATAGTAAGAGCTGTGAAAATGTGGAATAGACTCCCTCAAGAGTTGGTTCTGAGCTGGCTTGCTTTAAAAAAGTCCTGGATTCTTTCTTAGATACACAGAATATAACTGGATACTAATATTTATAGGTAAAGTTGATCCAGGGAATATCCGATTGCCTCTTGGGAGATCAGGAAGGAATTTTTTTTCCCTGCAGGAGCAAATTGGATCATGCTTTTCTGGGTTATTTGCCTTCCTCTGGATCAACTGTGGGTGTAGGATTATAACTTTTTTTTTTCAATGGTTGAACTGGCCCTCCAGCTGTTGCGAAGCTACAAGTCCTATAATGCCTCTACCTTTGGTAGTCATGCTTGTAACTGTCAATCTTGCAATGCCTCATGGGATTTGTAGTTTGGCAAAAGCTGGAGGACCACCAGTTTAACACCTGTGCACTAGACTGTTCATTGAGCCGAAGGAGTGACTGTGACTGGCTGCAGGGCAACCATTGATAAAAGAACCCTGGTCAACCCCTGTATTCAGCTGCACCTGCAGGGGTGACCGCTGCATTTGATTAATGGCAGACAGCTGAATTCCAGAAGTTTCTATATGTTGTTTTAGACTGGAATATGGCTTTAGTTTACATGATTCTATTCTGTGCTCTTTGGAAAATAAAGAGACACGCAATGGGTGAGATTGAGAACACCTTACCTGTGCATTCATTATTATCATATTATACAGAATTCATAGAGCGCCAACAGTGCTTTACAATGTACAGGGAGAAAGTACAGATACAATAGAATTCAAGACAAGAGGAGGACCCTGCTTGTGGGAACTTACAATCTAAAGGGAAGGGCAAGTGATACAAAATGTAATAACAGTGTGAGGATGAGTTGAAAAAGTAAAATTCAATTGTTACATAGAAGATGGGTTTCACTGAAAATATTCATTTTTAGGGATCTCCTAAAAGCAGAGTAGGAGATAGTCATACAGGTTGGGGTAGGGAGTTGTAGAGGATGGGAGAGGCTGTGGAGAAGTCCTGGACATAAGCAAGGGAGGAGGTGACATGAGAGCTAGAGAGGAGGAGGTCCTGGGAGGATCGAAGAGGATGGCTTGGATGATATATTGAGACAAGATTGGTGATGGAGCTGGGGGCAGAGTTGTGGATGACTTTGTAGGTTGTTGGTAGTATTTTGAATTTTGTTTGTTGGAAGGACATAGAGGAATGTGTAGAAAGGGGTGGCAGCCACTGAGCAGTTGGTAGGTAGATGAGTCTAGTAGCAGCATCCATGATAGACTGAAGGGAGGATAGTATATAAGAACGTAGGTCAATGAGGAGAGAGTTGCAGTAGTTGGGATGATAGACAACAAAAGAGTGAATTAGTAGCTTTTGGTGTCATTGGTTACCACTTGCCATCCGCCTGCTGTTTATAAACGGCAGGGTGGTAGCAGTCCAGGGGCGGGTTGCCGTTCATAAACGGCGCCCGCCTTTTCTAGCTGTGTGCGCTCCCTGGGAGCGCACACCACCGCAATCCGGTGCCCACTGTGTCCTCCGGACACAGTGAAACACCGATCATCAGACGGGACCTCTGTACGAGGTCCCGATCATGTGATCACTGATTGACCAATCAGTGATCACATGCAAAGTAGTAAGCAAGATGTCACTTGTGACATCATTGCTTACTACGTGTGAAATCTGTGAATGATCTCAGAGGTCACATGGTAGAAGGCTATTCACAACAGCCTTGTACCATGTGACAAGCTGTGACCAATCACAGCTCACTCAGTACTTCTCAATGACTGCAAGAATGCAGACAGAGAGAAATAGAAATGATTGCTTTTACATCCTATATGGGTGTAAAAGCAATCAGTGTAAAAAAAAAAAAAAAAAAAAAATCTTCCTCACCCCCCACAAGATTTATGATGAAATATTATTTATTTGCAAAATTTTATTTAAAAAAAACACTTTTTTTCAACATTTTTGGACTTTTTCATTTACATAGCAAAAAAAATAAAAATCCCAGTGGTGAATAAATACCACCAAAATAAAGCTTTATCTGTCTCAAAAAAATGGTAAAAAATTCATATGGGTACAGTATTGCATGACCGCGCAATTGTCATTCAAAGTGTGATAGCGCTGAAAGCTGAAAATTGCCCTGGACAGGAAGGGGGTGAAAGTGTCCGGACAGGAAGTGGTTAAGAAGGGGCGTACTTTTGAGATAAAGGTGGCAGGATTTTGACAGTGATTGGATGTGGGTCTGAAAAGAGAGGTCCGTCTCCAGAATAACACCAAGCACCAGGAGTGGAAATGATAGATATGCTATTAATCTCTATGGAAAAGACTGGGGAAAGGGCATGGGGGGAAGAAATATTACTAGCTCAGTTTTGGAAAGACCGATTCATAGGCTCAACAAGTTTTCACACCAGTCATAATGGCATCCTGCAAGTGTTTAAAAAAATGTCCAAATGTAGAACCGATCAGCATTTCACATATTCCAAACACAAGAATGAAGAGGGTGCTGGATTTATATTTTCTAAGGGTCACCAAAATTGTCAGTGGGCATCATGGCTCCGGTTCGGCAGCACACCATAGAACAGGGTATTCCCCCAGAAACAAGAAAAAAACCCAGAGCTGAGAATCCACATTCATACATTTCAATGAGAGCACCAAACAAGCATCCAGAAGTCCAAGTCCAAGAAATTTCTGCTATGTATCAATGTTGTCATTAAAAACCTTGGACTCTTGGGTGTTTGTTTGGTGCTCTCATTGCATTGTATGTATGACCATTTCACATATGATAATGCGATTTCAAAGTGGTACCATTTGGTTCCATTTTAAGCATGACTTCAAAGTAGTGCTTATATAGACACAGCTGCGATCTCAGTGCCATTTACTATATAATCTATGAGAGTAAAATTGCGGAAGCTGTGAAAAAGTATTGCAGGAAATATTTTTCAAATCGCGCTACTTGAAATCGCATCTATTAGGACAATACCCCTAGAACAGTGGTCGGCAAGCCGCGGCTCGCGAGCCACATGCGGCTCTTTACCCACTCTAATGCGGCTCTTCTGTGTGCCGGGCGCCCGCTCCCCTCCCTCCTCTCGGTCGGCCGCTCCCCTGCCTCCTCTCGGTTGGCAGCCCCAAAAGTCCGCGCGGACCTTTTAATCCGGCCCGCGGATGTGGCTGTCAGGATGTGTGTAGGCGGGGCAGCGTGCCGAACGTGAGGGGAGGGGAGCTAGGCTCCTCTCACAGTCCGCCCTGAAGACCCGAACGGCGCGGGAAGACAGCGAGAGGAACGCAAAAGGTAAGTGAATTGACACGGGGGACTTGGCTTACTAGAAGAGGGGGGGGGAATAGTACTGTGGGGGATGAAATACTATATGAGGGATGAAATACTATATGGGGGATGAAATACTATATGGGGGATGAAATACTATATGAGGGATGAAATACTATATGGGGGGATGAAATACTATATGAGGGATGAAATACTATATGGGGGATGAATTACTATATGAGGGATGAATTACTATATGAGGGATGAAATACTATATGAGGGATGAAATACTATATGAGGGATGAATTACTATATGGGGGGATGAAATACTATATGAGGGATGAAATACTATATGAGGGATGAAATACTATATGGGGGATGAAATACTATACGGGGGATGAAATACTATATGAGGGATGAAATACTATATGAGGGATGAAATACTATATGGGGGATGAAATACTATATGAGGGATGAAATACTATATGGGGGATGAAATACTATACGGGGGATGAAATACTATACGAGGGAAGAAATACTATACGGGGGATGAATTGCTATGGGGGATGAATTACTATATGGGGGATGAATTACTATATGGAGGATGAATTACTATATGGGGGATGAATTACTATGGGGGATGAATTACTATGGGGGATGAATTACGATGGGGGATGAATTACTATATGGGGGGATGAATTACACTATGGGGGATGAATTACTATATGGGGGATGAATTACTATGGGGGATGAATTACTATATGGGAGATGTATTTTCAGTTTTAAAAATGTGGCTCTCAAAATAAATTTCAATCATGGTTTTGGCGAGATTTGGCTCAGTTGAAAAAAAAGGTTGCCCACCACTGCCCTAGAACTACATTAGATGCGATTTCAGGTGCAATTTGTAAATCCCATGTCACACCTGAAGTCGCAGTGGTGTGAACCAGAGCTTAAAGTAGTTGTAAACCCAGCCATTAACCACCCTCTTCTGCCACCCAAAAGTAATCCAGTGGATGTTTAGCCTTACGGAGTGCTTTTACAGGCTTCAGAATCCCCGGCTGAAAACAATGATAACACGGTCATTCCTGCAGCTGCAGTTCACCCTCCTTCCAATCCAGAGATGTATGTTGCTGGACAGGAAGCAGTTAAAATCTCATATAAGCCTTTACTTGTAATTTTAAAAGTACTGTTTAATAACCACTTGCCCTCCATAGGATTTACCCCTCTTCCTGACCAGGCCATTTTTTGCGTTACGGCGCTGTATTGCTTTAACTGACAATTGCGCTGTCATGCAACGATGCACCCAAATTAAATTTACGTCCTTTTTTTCCCACAAATTGAGCTTTCTTTCAGTGGTATTTGATCGCCTGTGCGTTTTTTATTTTTGTGTGTGCTATAAAAAAAAAAGACTGACAATTTTGAGAATAAAACAATATTTTTGACTTTTTGCTATTAAACATGTCCAGTAAAAAAATTTAAAAATCAAATTTCATCAGAAATTTAGGCTAAAATATATTCTGCTACGTGCCTTTGCTAAAACAAAATCCCAATACGTGTAAATTAATTGGTTTATGTTAAAGTTATAGCATTTACAAATGGCGGTATATATACTGGGATTTTTTTTTTTAATTATTTTTATTAGTAAAGGCGGCGATCAAAAACTTATAGCAGGATTGACACTGGGGGGGAACTGAATTGGTGTCACTGACATCCCCAGTGACACTAATACAGTGATCAGTGCTAATAAAAAGCATTGACAATGTACTAATGGCACTGGGCAGGAAGGGGTTAACATGAGGGACGATCAAAGGGTTAACTGTGTGCTGTGTGTATTTTACTGTGTGCTGTGTTTGTGTGCTTCACTGTAAGCACACTGCTTTGCATGGCTTTTCTATGCAGATCCGTGCAAAGCAGTGTGCAGGAGCTGACAGGGGAGAGAACTGTTTTGCTTACAAACAGTTCTCCCCCCATCGAAGATGCTCGGCAATCACCGGGTTCCGGCGAGTAATCACCGGCCAGGACACGGTGATTGACAGCCGTGGTGGACGGGAAGTGGACAATTTAAATCTGCAGCCTTCACTAAAGCAATACCTAGTAATCTTGCCATGAAAATTCTTGTTCAGGTACTACCTTTAATAAGGGGACGACCCTCTGTCCCTGTTTACTAAGGCAGTCTGTTTTGCCTTTAGTAGGGAAATTCATTATGTGTTCTCTTGGCAATATTGAATTTTGACCACAAGATGGAGCCTTGAATAAATGTACTGTTTTGCAGAAACCAGAAACTGTTTAGTTAATAAAAGCTCCCATCATCCTTCATGCCAAGAAAAGGAAACACGTGCATCCTGGGAGCTCAGACTCCATTTTAATTACTGAGTGAAAGAAACCATCCATAATTCTCTGCAGCACATTTTGTGGACTAATTTACATCCCCTACAGACAAAATTACTGGTGAGCATGCCATCTACAGCCTAATCATTTCATTGTGTTTGTATGGTTCATATATTGATTGTATGTATTTCTTATCTATTTTTCCCAATAGTTTTACCCCACCCTGATTTGTTAACAAAGCTTCAAGATTACATTCAATCTGGCTCATTGCAGAACAGGAGGGTTTAGCTGCATGTCAGGTTACACACAGGGAAATGTGTATCAAGGACAGTAAAGAGCCCATAGATAGTTCAACCAGAGGGTAGAATAAAAAAAAAAAGACTTGATTCTCTCATCCACACACTCCATGTAGACGGGGGGGGAACCTCCCTGCCAAGCCTTTGTATTCTGACAGCAGGGATACTTCAGAATACACTTATCAGTGGTGCAGGCTATAGCCAGTGGTGCAGATCAAGCAAGGAAAATCTGACAGTCTGTCTGTAGAGAGGTAAATCTATAGATCAACTTCTGTACATGTGCATATATGGATCCAGATGTGTCCGATCTCTGCTGAACTGGCTGAGTTTTGATACATGTATGGCCGGCTTAACTGTGCTCCTATGATGTCAACCTGTCACAAAAACCTTCAATGGAGAATACAAGGGGCAATGCCAACACACATAATGCAGACATGGTCCACTGTTGTCACCAACAATGTAATCACCAGCAGGGGCAGACTGACAACTCATGGGGCCCCCAGGCAATAAGGGATCATGGGGCCCCTGTGTCTTTGCCCAAACTCAAAAAAGCCTATGGAAAAGGTACCAGGGGCATCTCATGGGGCCCCCTACTGACCCCGGGGCCTCGGGCAGTGCACGAGTTTTTCCAAATGGTCAGACCGCCCCTGATCACCAGTCATTTCTAGAGCTCATACATATAGTCAGCAAGTGACTGCAAAGAGGCCACGAGATTAAAACAATGTGTTTCATGTTTGTGGCTCTTATTTATGTGATGCTTTTGTAATAATATAGTTTAATCCTTGGATTCTTGATGTCCATTCATACACTGTCAAAGAATTCATTTGCTTGTATCTTCCAGCTCTCTCTGTGCCCCCATTTTCTGTGTCAGGAATGCCAACTATGAAAAGTAATCTCTAATTCATTTTATTATATGTGTAGTTTTCACTAATGAGATACTTTCTTTGTCCATTACAGCAATTATCTCTACTTAATAGCAAAATTCTCTACCATAGAACAAGGGACAGTCTGCCATTTGCTTTTATAAAGAGGCTTCTGACAATCAAGGCCATTCAGCATATAAAAACAGAGATAGCAAACATTTTTGTTTAGGTCTTAATGACACAGTGCTATTTAGTACAGGTCAAAGCAAGTCACCGAAAATACTTTTATTTCCTGCCATTTCTATGTTATAGCTCAGATAAGACTATAGAAAAATCCGCCTTTTTGTAAAGCTGTACTAAAAGATTTAAAAAGGCCAATCCACTTAAAAGTGATGTTAGTTATAGACAAAGGATGATAGGCTGAATCATCTAGTTGAATCTTATGTTTTGAAAACTCCAGCAGTAAGTTCATGTAGTGTTTCCGACTCTATATCAATTCACCTTGGATTCTCACTCCTTCTGCTGTAAAACAATAGAAAATCAAATTGGGAGTAGGGTGCCTTATAATGATGATGACATACAGTGAAGGAAATAAGTATTTGATCCCCTGCTGATTTTGAATGTTTGCCCACTCACAAAGAAATGATCAGTCTAAAAATCGAATGGTATGTGCATTGTAACACATAGAATAGAATAGCAACAAAAAATTCAAAAGAAATGCATGTCTAACAAATTATGCACTGATTTGCAAGTTCATGAGCAGGGAATCAAATACTTAGTTCCTTCACTGTCTGTGTAGACCTATAAACAAAGGTGTAGCGCTAGTATATGAGCAAAAGATGAATATGTGAATAATATTCAATATCATAAATAATAAAGTCCAATGTTGCAGTGTCCAACAATACTGTGTGAATCAATGGTGACCAGCGATGTGAAGTGACATCTGTGACAATCCTCCACCACTATGCACTCACCAGAAGAAAGAAATAAACAGGCTCTGTATGGAAATCCCTCCAAAAGATGTATCTTTCCACTGCATAGGGAAAAACCCAAATGACATCCAGTACGGAATGGGTTCTTATATGGGCATTCCTGGAAATGAACCTCCCCTGCACCAGTCAACGATCGATTCAAATGTGGCACATCAAAGATGGCCGTTGGGCCATCACATGGACTTGGCAGTGTGACGTCGGGACATAGGCTCTTCACTGACGTGTTTCCTGCACATTCTCAAAAGGACCCTCCTGCATATGAATTGTTGAATGTTTACAAATTCCTGGCCCAGAAATCCATTCAGAAAAACAGCTGATTAATATCAAATTTTGAATAAAAATTAACAAAAGTGTGAGTGAAACTTTAGAGCTGTTACAACAGGCTTATGGTGAACATTCCATGAAGAAATCAAGTGTTTTTGCACAGCATAGGCAGTTTAAGGAGGGCTGGGAAGATGTCCATGATGATGCAAGAAAAAGGGCAGCCAAAAGTGCAAAGGATGGATGCATATGTGGGCAAAGGCTACAGGAATCTGTTTTGAGGAAAAAGAATGGAGCTCTGGTCTGACAAGGGGATTCTCCACCATGACAATGCTCCTGCATATGAATTGTTAAGTGTTTACAAGTTCCTGGCTTAGAAATCCATTACAAAACTTGACTAACCACCTTAATCCCCTGATGTAGCATCCTGCAACTTTTGACTGTTTCCAAAATTAAAAAATGCCTTAAAGTGGTAGTAAACACTCAATCTTAATCTTCACCTACAGGTTAGTCTATAATAAAGTTTACCTGCAGGTAAAATGAAAATCTCCTAATCGTGCACCACATAGGAGATTATCTAGGGAGCAGCTGCAGATGACATCACAGGATCAGGGGCGGACTGACAACTCATGGGGCTCCCGGGCAATAGGGGATCATGGGGCCCCTGTGTCCTTGCCCAAACTCAAAAAAGCCTATGAAAAAGATACCAGGGGCATCTCGGGGGGCCCCCTACTGACCCCGGGCCCTCGGGCAGTGCCCGAGTTTCCAAATGGTCAGTCCGCCCCTGCACAGGATATACTGTTCCTTCAGAGCTCTGTGCCGCAGCCGTGATGTCATTGTGGCTGGGCCATTGAAGCGGCCACAGTCCATGAACCCAGCAGGAAGAACAGGTGAAGATGGAAGCCTCTGTAGAGGTGACAGCCTATTGTATCAGCAGGGTGAGAGCTGGGTGCCCGACTGTTTCTGTGGGAAGAGAAGCACAGAGAACTGGACTGAATACCACATTGAGTGGAATCTATTGCGTTGCATGCACTGGGAACTCGCAGATTGCAGGTGTGTAATATGTAATTCTAATAATGCTCTTCACTGTCCAGTCAGTAGGTGACTGCGGAGGAGGCAGTGACCAAGAAGTACTAGTTAACTGATACAGAGACAATAAAGAAATGAGATCACGGATTTAAAAATCTTCACCACCACCCCCTCCCTGTCCCCATTCTAAAAAACCGTTTACTATGCTTCAGTTATGAACAGGGGGGAACTGACAACTCATGGGGCCCCCGGGCAATAGGGGATCATGGGGCCCCTGTGTCCTTGCCCAAAACTCAAAAAAGCCTATGAAAAAGTTACCAGGGGCATCTCATGGGGCTTCCTACTGACCCCGGGCCCTCGGCAGTGCCCGAGTTTCCCTGGTTATGAATGCACACAAGATCTGGAGGATCTTGATCTGATCCCCCTGGATCCATAGGGGATCAGTTTCAGTGATAATACAGCTGGCCCTCCTGCTTGCCAGGTGCCTGGGCCCTCTTGTTGAACTGATGGGGCCTGGGCCATGTGCATGTGGGCTGGCTGTACTGCTTTATTAGCAGCTCTGGGGGCCAGCGCCATCATCCTAATCCAGGTGAGGATTGTGGAAACTGGAGTCGGTACAGATGATAATCAGTACTTGCTCCCCCCCTCCATAAAAAAACCTGTAACTCATTTACAGACTGCACCAGCAGTACTTTTTGAGTGAAGTCCCAGTTTAACCACTTCCTGTCTGGCCCATGTACAACAGCCAGATGGGAGCAGTGCAGGAGCAGGTTGCTGTTTATAAACGTCCTCCCGCATTCCCTGCCTGTGCCCTGGGAGTGCGCGCACCACGATCCGGTGCCCGCTGTGTCTTCAGGACACAGCGAAACACCGATCGCTATACAGGACCTCTGTGTGAGGTCCCCAATCATGTGATTACTGATTGGCCAATCAGTGATCACATGAATAGTAGTAAGCAAGATGTCACTTCCTGACATCATTGCTTACTACTAGTGAAATCTGTGAATGATCACAGAGGTCACATGGAACAAAGCTATTCACAACAGCCTTGTACCATGTGACAAGCTGTAACCAATCACAGCTCTCACAGTATTTCTCAATGGCTGCAAGAATGCAGTCAGAGAGAAGGAGAAATGATTGTTTTTACAGCCTTTATGGCTGTTAAAAAAAAAAAAAAAAAAATCTTCATTCTTCATCACCCCCCACAAATTGTACAGTGCCACTATGTTAAAAAAGCATAAT